AGAACACTGGGTGAGATCAAACTTCTTTAGCCAGGAGGTTAACCTGCTAGTTAAGTTTAGTCTCTGGAAAGTGTGTTTATAATTTTGTTATACATGTAACTACTTGTTCCCAATATTCTTACTTTCTGTTACTTTGATAAACTCATTCTTGTTTTCACTATAAATACAGTTAAGTGCTGTAGTGTCATGCAAAGTGCTGGTCCTGAGTTGAATCCTACAAGCTGGTGGGTAATGTTCCTTTGGGAATAGCCAGCCTGATAAGTCTGTTTGTTCAGTGATTAAGGTGCTGGATGGTGCATGGAACACTCCGAGTACTTGGGGTTGGTGTGTGCCTACCACTAACCTGTACAGAGAGAGCAAGGTCTGCAGGGCATAGAAGGCAGCGCTTGTGCTGCTATAGGCTGGTGGTTTCAGGGAGCTGATCCACGGCAAACATGCCTTCATGCTAATGGCAGGTAGTGGTGAGGCGTCTCTCAATTCTTGGTCCTGTTGAGGAGCATCACCTCACACCCACCTCCCATAACGTTCCATGTAATAGACTTGGTTGAAATTTTTTGACAGCTTTTTCATTAAAAAATGGCTTTTCAAGGGCAATGATTTTTTTTTCACAGGAACATTTCCCAGTGATTGAAATGTTTTCACTTTTCAACACCATTCTGAAACAAAACACCTGAACAAATTTCATTTGGAAATTGTGAGAGAAATCCCACTCCCTCTTCTTACTCCTTCATTCCCAAAAATGTGGGGGGGAGGGACAGAAGGACTTCTGCTTCCTTTTTTACTTCCCCTCGTTAAACATTAAAAAACAAAAAATTTCAAAAAAATCTAAATATTTCTGTCATAACTATAAAGGAAAGGGTAACAGCTGTCCTGTATACAGTACTATAAAATCCCTCCTGGCCAGAGACTCCAAAATCCTTTTCCCTGTAAAGGGTTAAGAAGCTCAGGTAACCTGGCTGACACCTGACCCAAAGGACCAATAAGGGGACAAGATACTTTCAAATCTTGGGGTGGGGGGGGGTGGGAAGGCTTTTCTTTTTTTGTGCTCTTTGTTTTGGTTGTTGTTCGCTCTTGGGACTGAGAGGGACCAGACATCAATCCAGGTTCTCCCCATCTTTCTAAACAAGTCTCTCATATTTCAAACTTGTAAGTAAAAAGCCAGGCAAGGCGTCTTAGTTTTACTTTGTTTTTCTCAACTTGTAAATGTACCTTCTACTAGAGTATTTATCTTTGTTTGCTATACTTTAAACCTGAGGCTAGAGGGAGGTCCTCTGAGCTCTTTAAGTTTGATTACCCTGTAAAGTTATTTTCCATACTGATTTTACAAAGATGATTTTTACCTTTTTCTTTAATTAAAAGCCTTCTTTTTAAAAACCTGATTGATTTTTTCCTTGTTTTAGGTCCAAGGGGGTTGGATCTGTATTCACCAGGAGTTGGTGGGAGAAAGAAGGGGGGATGGTTAATTTCTCCTTGTTTTAAGATCCAAGGGGTTTGGATCTGTATTCACCAGGGAATTGGTGAAAGGTTTCGCAAGGCTTCCCAGGGAAGGGAATCCATTTGGGAATGGTGGCAGCGAACCAAAACTAAGCTGGTAGTTAAGCTTAGAAGTTTTCATGCAGGCCCCCACATTTGTACCCTAAAGTTCAAAGTGGGGATACAGCCTTGACAATTTCATTTAACATACTTTTTTTTCCAAGGCAGCTCTACATGTAAATTTACAATGCTACACTTCATGATTCCATAGACCCCAATTCTACAGAAAAATCCCTGTCTGTATGGCCCCTTATGTCTGCATGGGGTCCCCTTACACCCAGATCCAGTATCTTAGCTATTTCTGCAGTGCCTTTCACCTGGGTATATACAGCAAGGCAGTGCTCTAGTGTGCTCTAACAACATTGGACTGTTTATAAACATTAATTCTAGTCCGATTGTTAAAGAAATCATTCTATAAGGCCTAACATGCTGTACTGATGTAATCCCAAAAATGAATTTAAACAGCTATATTGAGTTCAGCAAGTAACTCTCTATAATCTCAACTTCCCCTTCCAGTTTTGCTGATCACATGAAATAGCTCCAATCCTTGTTAGATCATCTGGCAGAGTTTGTACACATCTTGTGTGTTACATGGGAGAGGGGATGCCAAGAGCCTATGGGGAACTGGGGTGAGATGCTGTGCTGCTCCTCAAGGAGGCACAGCACAGAACTTGCAGCCTGGGGAGAAACGGGGCTAAAGTGGCTTTAAGCCACTTTTGAGCTTTGCTAATCCTGGGTTCCTCCAGGGGCTGCAGGCTCCTGGAATAATTTAGACAGCCCCAAGGGGCTAATTTACAGCAACTCCTCTAGGATGTCCTATGGGTCACAGAGCTGCCCAGAATCTCCTGTGTGTTATGTGATGCAGCTGCATCCTGGACATCCCTCTATGGTGGGACTGGAGAGAGTGTCCTAGGAAAGCAGCCTTATGGCAGTCTTCCACAGTGCCTGTGCCAGATTCCGCCCTCTGCTGGTTATGGGGCTGTGGTGCACCATGTACTGCTCTGTGATTGGAGCAGGGTGAGGATCTCCCCACTAGAGACAAGTCGCTGGTGTGCAGTGGAATATGGAGTACAGCTCTCCAGCAATGGGGGGAGGAGGAGAGCCACTGTGGAGCTTGTGAGCTAACAGAGAACAGCAACCACAAGGAGAGAGGAGGCTTTGAGACACAGTCTGCATGGGTGAGCCACCTTGTCTGCATTTTCGCACACAAGTGCTTTTCATAATCACTTCGCCAAAGCTTTTGGGACCAAAACACAGTTATTCAGCTGAGCATGAAACGGGAAGAGTTCATTCAGCTTTGGGGAAACAATCTGATGGAGCCATGGCAGGTGAAATAACTGAAGCCATGTGTTGCTGGGAAATGCCTGGAAAGATTCCCACAATTCAAGGCAGACCTGGCAAAGGTGCAGGCAGTTACGTTTTGTAGACCGAAGGCACCATGGACACAGATTTGGAAGACAGGGTAGAGGGTTGCTACCTGCAGCTGGGACTAGTGGCAGGGAATCAAGAGGGTGGGTATGATCTAATAAAGCCAAGAACAAAGTAGTTCTGCCAAGTCTTCCCAAATGAGTCCAGTGTCAAATGGATGCTGTGTAAAGGGAATGGAAATATGGAAAGGAGACCGTGACTGCAGCAGAAGGGAAGTGGAGGTTAGTTGAAAGTGACGCTTTGGGGAAAAAAACCAAAACCCCACCGTGACTCAGGAACCAAGGATGTATAGAGAGGAAAGCAGGAGCACACCTGCATTCAGAAGGGATGATGGGATATTTGCCCATCCAAGGGAGCCGGGGGTGGGGATCTCGCACCACAGGAGAGCAGCAAAGGTATACATGGGTAGGCTGATGTCCAGCAGGCTGATCCAGCAGGAATTCCACTAGCAGAGCCATTGTGTTGGTGGTTCCAATGTCACTTTTAGCCACTGTTCTATCCCTTTGTCTCTGGGTGATGACGGCCCCAAGAGAGTGTGACTACACTAATGATCCTATCCAAAGAATACAACACTGACCAATCAGGACAAAAGGACACAGGTGGAATATTTTACAGCAAGAGATGGAGAAAATCAAGGAGGAAGCACTGGTTCACATGTTCGGTAGCGCTCTATTACATAAACGGACAATCATTATTGCTGCTTGGCCCCCCCCTACAGACTCCATCGCAGACCACGGGACAGAGAGGAAATGATGACTGGAGAGGACCCTAGGAACAGTTGAAGAGTTTAAAACTACTGCGGTGATCTGATCCTAGAGCCAGTTTACCTCCTGGTGTAATTTAGAGCATTCCTAGCCCAGCTGGCTATGGTCTGTAGGGATTGCTGGGATGCAGTGCATTCCAACCATGCCTATTTTTTCCCTGGGGGAATTACCTTTTATACCAGGGGCTGCAGAATGGGAAGGGGCCACACCGGCTCTTTGCCAGCCAAAGAGAGGCTGCTTTTTGGCCCATCATTGTGGGAACAGTGCAAAGGACCTGGAGTGGGGCTCGGGAATGAGCCCCTCGGGAATGAATTATTCCTCCACCCTCAGACCCTGCTATGGGAGCAATGTGTTTCTAATGCCTCAATGCAGGTTGTAAAATATATGTAGACCAGCAGGTCTGACAGCCATGGAATGTGCCTTTCATTCCACGTTAGCTCCACCACAGCAGATTACTACTTACTATCCATGCCACTGACAGCAATGGGAAACAGCATGGCTTAGCAGTCACTGAACCATCAGACCGTTATGAAGCACTGTGCAAACAGCTTCCTCCCATTGCAGGGAGCAATTCATGACACAGCACTCTTGGATTCACCCAACACTCCTCCCCACATGTTGTGGACTTGGATTAATTTTTTTTCTATTTTCTGTTGGGAAAATCTAAATGAAACACTTTGTTTTGGGGTCATTTTGATATTGATCTCTGCATCTGCCTGAGCTCTCCCATACCTTACGGAAGCTGTAGTTTTTTGATCAGCCATGTATTAAAGTCAATGCACTGTTCACCTAAGTAAAGTTATGCATACATTTGTGTTTGCAGGATTGGCAAACGTTAGCACACTTCAGGGAAAAACTAGTATCACAGAATGGTTCTGGGCTTCACCTGCACTACCATACAAACAGACAGCGTTGCATCTCTGGCTCTCTGATGCCTGCAGAAATGCCTATGCCTCTCCACAGCAGAGATTTATTTGTGAATTCCTGGAGGGGAAGCCACAAAGACCCCAAAGCTCAAAAGCAAATAAGCAGTACTGAATAAAACCTGCAGCAAAGGTTTGTTTGATCATACAATGTCCACCTGGTGTAAATCAGCATAACTCCTCTACAGACAATGGAGCTTTGCCAGTTTGCAACAGCTGAGGACTTGGCCCATAGATGAGAGGGGAAAACCCACCCAAGGAACTGATAGTTTGGGGAAGGGAGTGGGGGTACAATTCCTCTGTGTACCCCACTTACAAATCAATCCCTGTCCCACAGCACTGAATCACTTACATTCCTTTGTTCTTCCCAGCAGCAGCATTCTGGCCAGCTCGAAAAAAGCTTTGATTTCCCTCTCGTAGAGTCTGCTAAGATTCCAGGCATAGACCTGGAAGGGGAAGGAATGGGGAAGGAAATGCCAGTGGGTCTCTCTCCTGTCTCTCTGCAGCTCCCCATCTCAACCACCACCAAGCCATTCTCAGCAGTCTCTATACTGTGCCTGATACAAAGCCTACTGCAGTCAGTGGAAACATTCCTGTTGACTCCAGTGGGCTTTGGATCAGGCCTTTGGGAGAGCTGTGGAACTGATCATAAAAACCTGGGAAGGGAAGAACCTAGCTGCTCAGCATTGAAGCCCATTCTAAAGTCGTGCCGTTCGCTGGCTGCAGTGAGCAAGGTTGTTGAACTGTGAAGACTCTGGCACCCAGACTATGCCACAGCAAGCACGCTGTGCCGTGGACAATAGCATCGGCTTGGACTTTGTCTTCCACGAGGGTGAGCTTTACCCCAACATGAAAACACAGCTTCCAGCATCCTTCCTGGCTCTTGTTTTCAGCAAACAGGACAGTCCCACAGTAAGGAGCACACTTGTCAGTGAAGGGCTATCTGCCTTCCAACTGCACACTTGGCTTTCACAAGCTAAGTAGCCTCAGAGGTGGTCAGTACTTCGATGGGAAACTTCGAAAGCAGTGATACTCAGATCTCGGTGAATCAGGAGCCAAATCAGTGATCAACATTACCCAAAAGAGCCACTGTAGTGTGAATTCATTGTTTCATTTAATATAAATAAAATAAACTCATTCCTATATATATGCTTCTCACAGCAAAATGACTGACATTCTACAGTTGGTTAATAACACAGTAAAAGCATCCTGATTGGTTAAGAATGAAATCACGCAGTGTTTTAATACCATGTGCTGCAAAGAGCCGCCGGAGACACATTGAAGAGCCACTTGGGGCTCCTGAGCCACCGTCTGAGGATCACTGCTCTAAAGGGGAGCTGCAGGGAGCAGTGCTAGTGATTTAGCAGGTGCTACTGTTCTCTTAGTCTGAGCAATGGAGGAATGCCCCAGCATGGTACAAGGGGGTGCTGTCTTTCTGATCAGATATAGGTACTGGCCTTCATTGAATACTGAGGGGTCCATTGTATGTTTGATATTCTCAGGGATCAAACCTCATCGGGCATTCTTTTATCCCACTCTGATGGTGACTATGCTGCAGAGCTGGGACTCCAATCTGGGTTCAGTCCCTGGCTCTAACATAGATGCCTATACACATTTGGGTAGTTCACTGTAAAATGCGAATAACACTACCTTTGCCTGTCTTGTCTACTTAGGCTGTGAGTGTCTCTGTTACTATGAATGTGCCCATGGCCTGGCATCATGGGCTCTGATCTCAGCTGGGGAAATTCAGATAACGATGACTATTCTTGAGTAGTGTCCTCGTTCAGAAAACAGGGCATAGCTTTAAGTCAAAGCCCAAAAGACTTTACATAAAATACTGTTGTGAATAAAAGTGATATTTCCATGGTGATTTCTTCATTTCATCTTTATATGGACACGTCTATATTAAAATACCACAGCGTAGAATACCAACCCAATTAAAAACATCCCACTTAATGGAATAATGTAGGATTATTTATTGTTACCCCACCATGACTGATGTTGCACTGGATAGTTCAGCTGTGAGGCCGTACCTTGGGGAGGTCATGGAACAGGATCGGGTTGGCATTCTTCAGCCATGCCATAAGTGGAGTGTAAGGTAGCAGGTCGTCATGGTAGGGCCCATGGGTGGATGAAATTAGCTTGCTAGCCTGCTGCATTCGAGCAGGAACTTGACCATTTCCCTGAAACAACAGAAAGAGCAAAGCCTAGCTCAATAAAATCATTCATATGGAGCACTTGGCAAATTTAAATGAATCTCTCCTGGATTGCATGGGAAGCTCCAGTTCTGGACAGGGATGCTGGAACAATTTGTATAGTGAGGGTGCTGAGAGCCACTGAACCAAGCTGTAAACCCTGAATATAATGGAAACTGCGTCAAGCCAGGGGGTGCATCAGTACCTACCATGCCCCTACTTCCAGTACCTATGGTTCTGAAAACATTTGAGAAGCCATAAGTTACTTGGGAGAGCAATGTTAAAAACCACTATGGCCATGGGTCTACACTTATTGCTTCACCAGTATAGCTATACTATGCCAGTAAAGTGGATGCAGCTTATTGATGCAAAGCTGGGCTATTACTAGGATAGCTTATTCCATCACCACCACCCCTCAAGGAAATAAGCTATTCTGGTATAGCCAATATAGCTGCATCTACACTAGCGGCCTTTGCTGGCATAGTTATGTTGCTGAGGGATCACACCTCTTCACGACGCTGACTGACATAGCTATGTTGGTAGAAGTCTGTAGTGCAGATGTGACCTATGTTGCATCCAGTTGTAGGGGAACAGGGATGAACAAAATGATAAGCTGGTAAGGTCTGGTCAAGCTGCAGTGGGGAACTAAACTGAGAAGCCACATTTGTGATGCTGGATTTTAGCCAGAGAGGCAACAAAGTCTGTTCATCTTCAATTCAGCCTCTACTTATGAGGACCCACATTGTGCAATCAGATCTGCGCAGGTGCAAGGATCTGGATAGATGGACCTGACTGCAGGCCCAGGATAGCATAGTGCAGGCTACTGCAAGGCATTCTCTCGGGCTGCTAGGGAGACATGTTGGGGGAGGAGAGGTTGAGGGGCAATTACAACCTCTGTCCCTCACCATTTCCAAAGGGAAGTTTAAAAGGGGTGGTAGAAAATAGGGCGTTGGCAAAGCAAGACGTCATTCAATAAAATAACCCTTAGTGTTGACTCCAAGCATAAATCCTTGCGTTGTGTGTGTGATTAGTCACACTCAGAATCTAGAAAACTAGATATGGGCCATTTAGCAGTGAGCCATAGTTAACACAGCTATTTCCAACAGCACAGTGGTTCTCAAACAGGGGTACGTGCACCCCTGGGAGTACACAGAGGTCTTCTGGGGGTACATCAACTCATCTAGATGTTTGCCTAGTTTTACAACAGGCTACATAAAAAGCACTAGCAAAGTCAGTACAAACTAAAATTTCATACAGATAGTGACTTGTTTATACTGCTTCTGTGTACTGTACACTGAAATGTAAGTACCATATTTATATTCCTATTGATTTATTTTATAATTATATGGTGAATGTAAGCAAGTGGTTTTTAAGTGAGGAGAAACTTGGGGTATGCAAGACAAATCAGACTCCTGTCTCATGCTGAGAAAGAGGGACGATCGATGAGTCATCTTAAGTGCCTATACACAAATGCAAGAAGCCT